TGATCTGGGTGTGCTCCCCCCACCCCTCCACACGTTGCAGCCCCCAGACCCTGGGCTGAGATGGACGCCCGCCCTCCCCAGTGCCCTCCCGGACTGTAGGGGGACTCAGCTGATGAGACATTGGAGAGCCGCTTGGGCAGAGGCGAGGCGGAATTGGGCAGACCCCATCCTCTCTGTCCACAGGAACAGGACATGGCCCTCTACCCCCCAGATCCACAGGAGGATAAGGGTTGTTGCCTTGAACTGAGAAGATTGGCCATGCTTTTGCCCACCCCCTCAGAGAGGCTGAGAAAGCTAGGGCTGGAGCCAGGAGAGCTGAGTCAGCTCAGCATAGTGTTGGCTCGTGCGCGACCTCAGCGTCCTCTGGACAAGGGGGGACTGGGAAGAGCTGACCCCACCTGGCCCTGGTCACAGTGGGACAGGAGTGGGCATGGCCTCCAATGTCGAGGGGGAGGGCAGACCCTGAGGCTGGAGTCGGCTGGAGAGGAGGGAGCCCCACGCCCCCTCAGAGAGGGCCACCCGAGGCTGTGATCCAGGGTGGGGACCCTCAGCCTCCTGGGGAGTGACCGGCGGGCCCCAGGCTTCTCGTGCTTGTCGCCGTGGCTGTAGCCCTGACGGTGTCGCCCCGGCCTCCCCCTGCTCCTGCCCTCCCCCTCTGGAAGACCCTGCTGCCCACCTTCCTTTAATCACTGTCTCTGCCTTCTCGGGCCCCTCTCTCGCCTGCTCTGTCTTTGGGGATGAGGTGCTGACCCTGAAAGCAGGACTCCAGGTGAGGACACGCGGGGCCCTCCCCGCTCTCTGCTGTGTTCCGTGGCTCCCCTGCCCGCGACCCCGGCTCCTCTGTCTCCTCCCCGCGTGTCCGGTGGTCCCCGCCTGCCTGTCCCTCCCTACGCCCTTCCCTGAGGGCAGCGCCTGCCCACCCCAGCCCTCCTCCCGGGATGCGCCCGGGGTGTGGCATTTGGGGCCTTACCCGTTAGCAGAGCCACCGCAGCCTTTTCACGGACTGCTGCCTCCTCACCGGCTTGAGCCCTGGCAGGCGCCGGAGTGCTGTGGGAGTGAGGGGCAGTTTCTGTGGGTGAAGACCACCCGCCCTGCTCCCTGGGACGCACGCCTGCCTGCCAAGCACTGGAGGTGGCTGGAATCTCTGTCCCCTTGCCTGGGGCAGCGCTACCCCTTTTAGCACCCCAGCACATAGAAGGTGTGCAGGAAACTGTGCTGCCACTAGTAAGCCACTGTGGGGTGGGCCTGTCCCTGGGCGGCCCAGAGAGGGGACCTGTTCCTTAAAGTGCTGAGGGGAGCTCGGCTCCCCGGGGCCCCCAGCTTTCCGCTTGGGCTCAGTCAGTCCAGTGGGAGCTGGTGGCCACACCTCTGCCTGCCTTTGGGGTGCAGGACCCCGGCTGGCATGGACTGGCCTGGGCAGGTGGACGGTGTGGACATGGGGACCTCACTCTGTTGCCGAGAGACCCCTCCTGGTCTTGGCTCAGAACACAGGCACCCGGTGGCAGTCACCGGCTGGGGGGGTCCTTGGTGCCGGCAGGCCCACCGTGGCTGTGCTGGAGACAGAAGAGGCGTTGCATTAGGGTCTGGTTGGGGAGCCAGGGCGGGTGGGGCTCAGGGCCGTGCTGCTCCAGGTGTGTCTCCTGTGGCCGAGCTGCTCTGATCTGTCCTTTGTCATCCCACCCGTTCCTCCGGCTGCCACCCCTGTCTCCAGGACCCCTCCCCCACTGGCTTTGCCCCCTTGTTCGTGTGGTCTCCTCATCACAGCGGAAGCATCTGTGTGTTCTGGTGCATGTCTGTCCTGTCTGGTCTTGGTCAGCGTGTCTGTGGGCCCCTCTGCCCACCCTAAGGCCCCGGGACCCCCAAGGGCCTGTCTGTCCCGCTGGGGCCTCGTGGTCTGCTGGGCAGTTCTCAGGTGGATAAAGCTCCACTTGGCTAATGGGGTGGAGCCGGCCTCAAGTCCAGAGGGAATGGGCAGCATCATGCTGGCCCAAGCCGGGGGTACTCGACACCCCCAAGCAGTGAGTGGTGTCCAGGGAGGGCAGTGGCAGCCAGCAACCCACCTCCTCCCAGCTCTCCTCCTCCAGGCACCACAAGGCACGTTGGCTGCTTAAATGAGCATTTTTTTTTTTTTTTTTTTTTTTTTTTTTTTTTTTTTC